ACACACACACACAGACAAACACACCTTTCCCGTTTCATTCCCCGTGTTTTCGTCCAGTCCGACACTGGCTGTGACAAGCGTGATGTGACCCGTCATGACCTGACCCCCATCGCCTGGCCTGGCCACACCGCCCCCACAACGGTCGTGTGAGACTCCCGACCTGGCCACACCGCCCCCACAACGGTCGTGTGAGACTCCCGACCTGGCCACACCGACACCACAACGGTCGTGTGAGAGTCCTGGACTCCCCACTGCAGGCTAGACATATTATATCTCCGACAGAAATGGTAAGGGGACATAGATCTAGATCTACCTCTATCGGTGGTCCTCGTTTGTTGTAAGTCAATGTAAGGTCAGAAAGTGGTTTCTTTGGCCCCCTCGCTCCTCGCTCCTCGCTCCTCGCTCCTCGCTCGCTGTATGACTCGGTGGAGAGGGGTAGGCCAAGGCGTTGTCTTTTTGTTTGAGACAACAATGGTAGGTGTTTTGTCTTTGTTTGAGACAACAATGGTAGGTGTTTTGTCTTTGTTTGAGACAACAATGGTAGGTGTTTTGTCTTTGTTTGAGACAACAATGGTAGTTGGTTGTTCCTTCTTACTGAGACATCTCGGGTTCGGAGTCAAAACGTCTCTTCGTTAACGCTTTGCGGTCACTTGGCACAATAATGCGACGGTGAAAATTATCCGTTCCCGTCAACTGGCACAGCCCGAGAAGTCGGTTGCATTCACTCTCCTGGCTGGGTGACCAGATGGGGTATTTTGCAGTGCTGGCTGTGTGACTTGTTCCGTCCTGAACTGTTTTAGTTTAGTTTTAGTAGAGTTTTTACGGCGCTCGCAACTGCACAAGGTCATAGCGTCAAAGGGTGGATGTCAACAGAGAAGTCTAAACGGGGAATCGGACTCTGCTCACCTCTCTAGCCTCAACAGCACAAAGTCAGCTTCGACTATCTAGGCACCCCAGAAATTGCAGTTCACAAGAGTGTGGCAAACATGCAAAAGAAGTAGAGGAAAAATGAGGATAGTAAGGATGAGGAAAGAAAAAGCAGCAGTTCCCAGAACAGTGTGAGCACCCAGGTCTTCGTGTCGGCGCCACAAGGCCGAGGCCAGCCGTGCGTCACAGAGAGAGAGACACATGGTACAACTTAAACCTATCCGTACGCCCTGAGGTCATTTTGTACGTATCCCCGGGGTTGTATTCTTCACATTTTAGAATACTTCTAGTACGATTAAGATCTCTTTGAAACTTTCAGTATTTCTCAAAATATCATTTTGACAGACTGCTATGCAAAGCCTGCGGATCGGGTTAACGAGTGCATTTCTTCTTTTGAAAGTGGTGACACAGAGTTCCCAACGTCGTATGGATACGATAGTAAAACACGACGTACGGATAGGGTTAAGTGGTGGCACAGAGTTCCCCACGTCGTATGGATGCGATAGTAAAACACGACGTACGGATAGGGTTAAGTGGTGGCACAGAGTTCCCCACGTCGTATGGATGCGATAGTAAAACACGACGTACGGATAGGGTTAAGTGGTGGCACAGAG